GTCGAGCTATTTAAAAAAAAAGTCTTTACAGACAACATGTAGCGAACACGATTGAGCCCGATACAAATTTCTGTTGAGATGTTCTGAACACCAGCCACATTCCCATCCAGATCTGGCTACATCCCCATCAAGATTCGGCTACATCACCATCATTGTCTCTGTCAGTGAATTGGATCCGAGGGGCATTTCAGGTAGGGGTGGGGGGGGGGGCTTGCATCTGTAAACGCCAAAAGTCTGGCACTGGCTCTGATCCCGGCGCCCCAGCTACACAGACACTGAATGCATTCTAGTTATGACAACCCTGGGGTATGCTTATGGTCCCAGATCACTTATGCTCTGGATTCTTTTTGGTCAAATATAATCAAACTACATGTACACGATAAAGGGAAGTAACACTAAGAAAATCATTACAATTACTAAATTTCGGTGTTTTGTTTTATACATATAAAGGTGCGGGGAGGGGGGAGGGGGGAGGGAGGGGCCAGAAAGTAAGGGTAATGTCTGGGGATAGTTCCACAACCCTGACCATAAAAGCTTTGAGAAATTTGAAATCCAGGAATGTATTTTGACCACCACCTGAATTCAGTTTTGCGTCATTCTACAGTAACTGTAGAAACACAGGGGAGGCGCTTGCAAATGTAGGTGTCCCTTAACCTGATTCTGTTTATATTATTACACAAATCCCTATTTAAATAGTGTTACTTTATGGTAATCTTATGTCATAAATTCTAATTAAACATTTTATTCGTTTGACTTCATTACTCAATTGATATAAAAAAAAAAAATGTCAGTCTAAAAATTGCCCTGACTTAGCATCACACAAAAAGTACAAACACACTGAACGAAAATGAAACAATGCTGTAATAATTAGGCGAACCTTTTCTATTATACAAAATGTTTAACGTTACCAAACTTTTCCAGAATAAATATTGGTGTGGATTATATGGTCTATAGATCTTTTATGGCTATTTAAAACTGGTCATTTTAAAAATAACTTTAGGCATATACATGGGCGCCCGCAGAAAACTTTCTAGGGGGGGGGGCAAAAAAATCGATTAACTTTCCAAGGGGGGGGGGGCAAAATTTTTTTACTAATGTTTTAATGTAGTTTTAATTTACTGTAGCGTATTTGTATGGGTGAACGAACGGACAGGACATCAGCTTAGTTACTTTTCTTTTTTTTTTCTCTTTACTTTAATACATTTTTGTCTATTTTTGTCAAAAAATTTTTTATCCAATCAATCCAGTGCCCCCCCCTTGCTACCCCCCCCCTTGCGGGCGCCCATGGCCATATATGAAAAGCATAATAATATTTAGAAGTTAACTTACAAATCAATAAACAAATAGCACTAAGTCTCTAGTCTATATTAAAAAATTTTTTTTTAAAAATGACGAATTAAAAACAGGGTTTCTTTCAGCTTCATCTCCCC